TATATATATATATATATATATACATGTGAATACAAGCACACGCACAAGCTTAATTAATTAGATATACATATAAGTAGCTTAGTTTGCCACTGTCAATGTTGATTTTCAAACATTATTATAATGCTGCCAATCTTATTTATAATTTTAACATAATCAAAGAATGCCAACTAAAATAAAATAAATGTTAATTTTTTATTATGTAAAAATGATAAAAATAATCAAAGTAAATTTAAAAACAATGATAATAATAATATCAATAAACGTTGCTACCAAACAAAATAAAAAGAAAAGTAAATTAATTACCAAAGCTAATTGAGATATCCTACTCAGACGTCGCGAGTTAGATGACAGAGAACGTTTTAGAGGAGCGATGTCTTGATCCCATAGCTGTAAGGTCAATAACTTATACTTTATAATTATTTATACTTTAAAATATATTAAAAATTTTATCTGTTACAAGATATTTTATTAATCAAAAATAAAAATAATAAAAAACAATAAATAATAAAGCAGATAGAAAATTAATAATTTTGTATGCAACGTGTAATTGTTTATAAACCTCATATTTGCTCATATACGATAATAAAATATTAAATCTTATGCATGTGCATTTTTTTGCTTCTTGCTGTGCGTATTATAATTTTTACTATTAGATATAAAAATATTGTAATGTACAGGATATTCTAGGAAAAAAGAAATGTTCTTCCTAGAACATCTTGTATTTAAATGAGTGTAAATATATTTTGAAATGTGAATTGAAGTGAGCAGAAACAAATAAAGCGAAACCAATTATTGGCAAAATATCATAGTTTTACAGTCGAATATAGTGCATAAAGTATGTATTAGTTATTTAGAAAGGTTGTATATATATTTTTGTATATATATTTTTCATTTTAAATTGGAAGTTACAAGATAATATTTTCTTTGGTAGTTTAGTGTTATTATATATAAGTACTTACGACGGTGTGAAAGAATGAATGTTCTAACGCATCCTTTATAGAAATTCTTCTCTTGGGATCAACAACTAGCAACTTTCTTATTAAATCTTTTGGAGCTTCTAGAAATAACATTATAAAACATATATTGATATTTTTTTTTTTTAATCTATCATTTCTTTATAATAAATATTTATCAATCATTTTTACCTGTTATGTCAGCCCATTCGGGAGATGTGAATGAATATTTTCCTTCCATTATATTCCTAAGCATAACCATTTGTTTTCGATGCCAAAATGGAGGACAGCCAACTAATAGTGTAAACATAATCACGCCACAAGCCCATCTATTACATCATGAACAAAAATGGAAAATATAATGGAATCTTATATTTCGCAAGAAACTAACTAATATATTTAACTCTACGAGTGAATACGTTCTTCGATATCTTTTTAATAGTTTCTATTATGTCCGACGCTATTTTCCCAAAGGTCCTAAAGTTTGAAAAAAAATTATGAAACAGCTATCTATATTGTGTGTGTGTGTGTGTGTGTGTGTGTGTGTGTGTGTGTGTGTGTGTGTGTGTGTATAAATCAATGATATATTTTAATAAATATTTATTGAATTTTTGAAAAATATTCATTTTGAATAAAAATGAATAAAAGAGACAATAAAAAGGAAAGATTTATCAAAATTTTTCTTAAATAATTAACATTGTTTCTTATGGAAAAAGGTTACAGAGCTCTGACACGTCCGTTGTTTTATTTGCTCAACATTCAACGATATGGTCTTTCAAAATGATTCTGGGACCAGTGTGGGATCTGAGTCTCTTCTATTATAATATCTACATACTTTCTTTTAGAAATTTAGGAAGAAGTAAAAATCCAGACAGATAGAAGGTCGCTTGTGTATTTTAATACTTGATCATGGAACAAATCGAAATGGATTCTGAGCAGAATTATTCCATTTTCCTTAAAAAACACAATAGAAATCTAGAAGTTTCTTTTACCTCGTTTTTCAAGATACACAATCGACTTTTTGGTTTCCTGGTTTTACAATTACGAGCAGAAACATCTCGAAACAATTTTGTTTTAGATCCTAACGTGTTCACTCGGAGAGTTAAAAATTAATTCATGCATGTATACATGCGCACATGGAATTATATCTTTTAATCATATACTAGTATGTGTTTAATCGTATACTAGTATGTTGATGATATTCATGATAAAGCCTGTGTATCGTTTATATATGTATATAGGCATGTACTTTTTTAACTCTGAAGAAATCTTACATATCGACTTCATATCCGTAACCATCTGTATTCTCAAACATATTACACTTTAATACTTCTGGTGCTAAATAGCCAGGTGTACCACAAAGGTCTGTAAAATATATCAAACATTTAATCCTTTAGACTTGGAGTACATATAAAAAAATGACACAGACCTTCTAATTTGTCTCCATGTTTCAATATTTTGGCAAATCCGAAGTCAGTTATCTTCACGTTCAAATTATCATCAAGTAATATATTCTCAGGTTTTAAATCTCTGTGTACTATTCCTTGATTATGTACATGCTGGATTCCTTCGAATACTTGTCTCATGATATAACGCGTTTTCTTTTCAGAAAGTGTCACGACCGACGTGAGATAATCAAATAATTCTCCATTCTTGCACAATTCAAAAATTAAGAATATAAATGTACTAGATTCAAAAACATCATGCAATTCAACTGAAAATAAAAAAAAGGAAAGA